TGTACCTTTGTGATGGGATGTTTCACTTTTTCTTCTCAATTTCCCCTCCTGTACAGTTCCCTCAGGCAGAATCACAAACACCGTTATCTGTGGGCTGGCTAGCTCCCTCCCTAATCCTCACCTCAGCATAAAAATCCCTTGCACACAGCACAAGCTGCTGCATGAGAAGGTACCACAATGTTCTCCCCTGCCAGCAAATCTTAGCATGTAAGCAAATCTGCTATTGGCCACACTGCATAACTTCTATTGGCTCAGACTTTCTTCTCTAATTGGCCATTGTGTTTATTCCCTGTGTGTTACTCGCATGCTGGCTGTGCGCACTGCTATAATGGAGTACACTGTGCTGTAGAAAATACAAACCCAGGGCAGAAATATTACGTTAGTTAAAGTGACCAAAAATAACAAACCATACACTTAATTGCAATGTTCCCCAGGTACGGTAACAACCTGCATGGAGTAATACGGTATATCATGTGCTTCTGCAATTGTTCCTGAACTACATGTGCCAGAATGCCCTGCTGTGGGGCTTTTATTAAAGCCATTTGAGAAACAGCTTCAAAGAGTTGTAAAACAATTTAATAAATAATAGTGATTAAGTCTACAGGGATTGTCTTCGCTTCTTGTGAATCATAAAATGTGATCTGATCTTCATTTAAGACATAAAATATATTATGTTATTTCAGTTGCGCTCCACTCGAGTAGGTAAATCACTGCTGAAATACATTTTCTTTAGCCAAGAGCCTATACTGTCCGGCAGGGTGTCTGAACAGAATTCTAGACCCCCCGTTGGTGCACTCTCTACCTCCCAATCGCAGCAACGACTGAGCTCAATGTTCTGCGACAGAGGGGGAAAGCGCACAGTGGGGGGAATTCATAAAATACTGGAGCAGACAGCATCTGGAGCAGTTGCCTATGGCAACCAACTCACTTATCGGTTTCATTTTCAAAGCTTCAATGAACAAAATAAAAAGATACTGGAAGCTAATTGGTTGCTATGGGCAAATCCTGCAGATTCTGTCTGTCCAAGTTTTTATGAATTCCCCCCACTGTGCTTGTGTAGGAGTTCACCCACTCTAGAAATTTTAAAGGCAGGCTAGAGAGGCCATGCACGGCTACAGGTATGCCTTGGAAATTCAGCATCTTTTTAAAACCTGAGGACTGTTTTCTTCTTGTTTGTTTTTGTTATGCACGACAGAAGCTGAAATGCATAGGTACCTTTATATGGGAAGGTGATGTAAATATGAACTTGCCCTTTAAATCAAAACTTGTATTAACCCTTGCAGTGGGGCTAGCCTCCCCCCCTCAAGGGTTAGCTGCTCATTTTTGTCTAGGTAAAAAAAAAAAAGTTATACTCACTTGAACCTCAGTGAAAGACAGATCTTAGACCAGTCCACCGCTGCACCAGTCCAAGGTCCCAAAGTCATTGCGTTCTATACACACTGTATAGGATATGATATGAGGACGCAGAGAGACAAACCATCACTGCACTGGAGGAGGAGACAGGCAGGAGGGAGCTCCGCGACAGCTGGCTGGCTCTAAGGATCGGGTGAGTATAACAGTTTTTCTTTAACCTAGACAAAAACGAGCAATTAAAAAGGAGAACTATCAGGTGAGTGATTTTCACTGAACCTCATAGTTGCAGCCGACGTGGGACAATAAAACTGTCACACGTCGGCTCAATAGGTCGGGAAGTGAGCAAACGCATAGCGCCGCTCGCTCACTTCTCGATCATGTCCCTGCAGAGAGCCGTGACTGTCACTCATGGCTCTCTGCAGGGATTGCCCTCTCCGATCCTCCAGCGCTGACTGGCGGAATGGACGGGGGAGGGTACAGCTGGCTCTGCCTCTAGATAGGCAGAGCCAGCTGTCAATCACACAGCTGTGTGGATCTCGACAGTAATGCTCGATATACTAAGCTTTGGGTCACGGGAGGACGCTTGTTAGGAGAACTATGGGGAAAAGCACTGACCCCATAGTTCTACTTTAGCCCCACTGCAAGGGATAATAACATTTTTGCCCAGAATTCTGCTTTAAGCAATAGGCGAGTCTTCCCAACACACCAAGTTTATCCAAGTTTACACACCACTTCCCAGACACCAAGTTTATCCAAGTTTATTAGGACTGTGTGAACTAGAATAAATGCTAAGCCTAACTTTCTGCACAGTATTTTTAAGCTTAAGTTGACTTTTCACTTTAAACATCATGTTGTCTCTTTAATATTAATAAACAACACAAATGTAAAGCTGCATACACACTTTCAACATATTATGCGTAAAGTTCCACAATGGTAGAAATATATACTCAAACTATAGTTCCACCCCCAAGTAGGACCCCGAATCAGTTAATACTGAACTAATAACACTTGCCAGTCCTTAACAGATGAATAGGGCTACTCTGTGCACAGAATAGGGAGAGGTTTGTGATTCAGCAAAAACAGTCGACTACCTTTCAGTTCACCATTCATACAAAATATTGTACATACCACTGAAAATGTAGGTTTTTAAACAAAAATGCCAATGGTGAACACACAGCTCATCTGCTCAAACACCTGTTACATTAATAAATCAAGCAAACTGCAAAGTTATTTTCAACCACTTGGCTTTCAGACTTTGCTAGTAGCCATGACCCAAAAGTTTTCCAGGAGGACTGTTAGACAATAGAATAGGGAGAGGTTTGTGATTCAGCAAAAACAGTCGACTACCTTTCAGTTCACCATTCATACAAAATATTGTACATACCACTGAAAATGTAGGTTTTTAAACAAAAATGCCAATGGTGAACACACAGCTCATCTGCTCAAACACCTGTTACATTAATAAATCAAGCAAACTGCAAAGTTATTTTCAACCACTTGGCTTTCAGACTTTGCTAGTAGCCATGACCCAAAAGTTTTCCAGGAGGACTGTTAGACAAAACATACAGTGAACATACAGTGAACATACAGTGAACATACAGTGAACATACAGTGAACATACAGTGAACATCAAGAGCCTATACTGTCCGGCAGGGTGTCTGAACAGAATTCTAGACCCCCCGTTGGTGCACTCTCTACCTCCCAATCGCAGCAACGACTGAGCTCAATGTTCTGCGACAGAGGGGGAAAGCGCACAGTGGGGGGAATTCATAAAATACTGGAGCAGACAGCATCTGGAGCAGTTGCCTATGGCAACCAACTCACTTATCGGTTTCATTTTCAAAGCTTCAATGAACAAAATAAAAAGATACTGGAAGCTAATTGGTTGCTATGGGCAAATCCTGCAGATTCTGTCTGTCCAAGTTTTTATGAATTCCCCCCACTGTGCTTGTGTAGGAGTTCACCCACTCTAGAAATTTTAAAGGCAGGCTAGAGAGGCCATGCACGGCTACAGGTATGCCTTGGAAATTCAGCATCTTTTTAAAACCTGAGGACTGTTTTCTTCTTGTTTGTTTTTGTTATGCACGACAGAAGCTGAAATGCATAGGTACCTTTATATGGGAAGGTGATGTAAATATGAACTTGCCCTTTAAATCAAAACTTGTATTAACCCTTGCAGTGGGGCTAGCCTCCCCCCCTCAAGGGTTAGCTGCTCATTTTTGTCTAGGTAAAAAAAAAAAAGTTATACTCACTTGAACCTCAGTGAAAGACAGATCTTAGACCAGTCCACCGCTGCACCAGTCCAAGGTCCCAAAGTCATTGCGTTCTATACACACTGTATAGGATATGATATGAGGACGCAGAGAGACAAACCATCACTGCACTGGAGGAGGAGACAGGCAGGAGGGAGCTCCGCGACAGCTGGCTGGCTCTAAGGATCGGGTGAGTATAACAGTTTTTCTTTAACCTAGACAAAAACGAGCAATTAAAAAGGAGAACTATCAGGTGAGTGATTTTCACTGAACCTCATAGTTGCAGCCGACGTGGGACAATAAAACTGTCACACGTCGGCTCAATAGGTCGGGAAGTGAGCAAACGCATAGCGCCGCTCGCTCACTTCTCGATCATGTCCCTGCAGAGAGCCGTGACTGTCACTCATGGCTCTCTGCAGGGATTGCCCTCTCCGATCCTCCAGCGCTGACTGGCGGAATGGACGGGGGAGGGTACAGCTGGCTCTGCCTCTAGATAGGCAGAGCCAGCTGTCAATCACACAGCTGTGTGGATCTCGACAGTAATGCTCGATATACTAAGCTTTGGGTCACGGGAGGACGCTTGTTAGGAGAACTATGGGGAAAAGCACTGACCCCATAGTTCTACTTTAGCCCCACTGCAAGGGATAATAACATTTTTGCCCAGAATTCTGCTTTAAGCAATAGGCGAGTCTTCCCAACACACCAAGTTTATCCAAGTTTACACACCACTTCCCAGACACCAAGTTTATCCAAGTTTATTAGGACTGTGTGAACTAGAATAAATGCTAAGCCTAACTTTCTGCACAGTATTTTTAAGCTTAAGTTGACTTTTCACTTTAAACATCATGTTGTCTCTTTAATATTAATAAACAACACAAATGTAAAGCTGCATACACACTTTCAACATATTATGCGTAAAGTTCCACAATGGTAGAAATATATACTCAAACTATAGTTCCACCCCCAAGTAGGACCCCGAATCAGTTAATACTGAACTAATAACACTTGCCAGTCCTTAACAGATGAATAGGGCTACTCTGTGCACAGAATAGGGAGAGGTTTGTGATTCAGCAAAAACAGTCGACTACCTTTCAGTTCACCATTCATACAAAATATTGTACATACCACTGAAAATGTAGGTTTTTAAACAAAAATGCCAATGGTGAACACACAGCTCATCTGCTCAAACACCTGTTACATTAATAAATCAAGCAAACTGCAAAGTTATTTTCAACCACTTGGCTTTCAGACTTTGCTAGTAGCCATGACCCAAAAGTTTTCCAGGAGGACTGTTAGACAAAACATACAGTGAACATACAGTGAACATACAGTGAACATACAGTGAACATACAGTGAACATACAGTGAACATACACTTTCCAGGAATCTTACAAACCGTATCATGTTTGGTAAAGAGATGAAGACAGTTGGTCAAAGCTGTGCATGTTTCCTGGGATGCATCAGATACTTTCTTGACTTGCTGCAGAACATCGGGGTCAACATCTAGAAAACAGCCGGCATACATATACTGTAGGATTACTAAGAGACTGGCATGGGTAGAAAAAAAGATGGAAAGAAAACATTCCAGCAAAGAGGACATAAATCCTTAACATCATAACAAACAACACAAATGTAGAAACTAGGAAGCATAAATCATTTGGAAGTTAATTTGAATTACCTATTGTTACAAATTCTTTGAATATCAAGATTTTAAAACAACAAAAGCTCATATATACACTGCAACGGAACATCACACTTCATTACAGATTATATACCATGCTCAAATTACCTACTATGCAAAAATGTATTCCAACACCTCCCTAACCAAAGCACATTTAGTAAAGTGTATTCTCCTGATAGACAAAGTGAAAAGGTTTCTTTTGAAAGAACAACCCCCAACCCACTGAAACCTACCCTTCACTATTGCCCTATTCCGGAGCCAAGAGTCCAAACTCGTGTAATATGTCTGCAGTGCTTGTTTTAGTGGAGTCAAACCCACATTGTGCGATGTCCTGAACTGCAGGAGGTGTGTTGTGTATGTGCATTGGGGTGCAATGCACATACACTTTGCATTGCAGGGTGCTGCGGTACAGCACTTTACCATGTGCATTAGACATGAATGGGCCCTTAAACATTCCAATTTCTCATTTGTCTTTTTTAAACTGTCAAAAAAGGTCTGGCAACATTTTTAATAAAGTGAATGGCTGCCCCCAAAAATATTATCTTGTTAACCTTTATAAATAGGCCCCTTACTTTCCCAATGCATATATTTCAACACCAGCATTCTGTTAAAACAGATCCAAGAAGCCAAGTACTTTTGTAAGTTAATCAAATAACAGGTTTATCCTTAGAGGATTAGGATAGATTTCTCTGCTTAGAGATTGAGGTCATCAATTCACAACCTCGTAAAGCTACTTTTCAGCCAAGCTGTACAAGTCTCTCTCAGTATTCGTGCCCCAAAATGACCAGCAGTTCATCTCAACTCTATAAATTGTTGCACAAACACAACAAAAAGCACAATGCATATGGTTATCTGTTTAAACAGCAAGTCGACTTCTAAAAAAAAACAACACAAACATTCCTCTGGTATTAAATTCTATTGATAATTTGTACACAAACTGCTTTTGTACACACCCCTAGTAAAAGGTTATAATGTAGTAATCCATTGTCTTAAATTGCAGGAAATATTCTAAAATGTCAAATCTCTTAAAGCACAATTTTGTATTTCTAAATCTCAGAATTACTTGGAGCTGTGTGTGGTAATATTACAATGCAATGAATGATTAAAATTATACACAATGTACAATAACATAAAAAGCATGTTTAATGAATGTATTATGTTGGCAATTGTAAAGCCAAAATGTGTATTCAGATTATTACCTCTTGTAAAATTTACTCAAAAACAATGTCCCATTAGTCCACTCTAATTACAGAGTATGTTTTTTTTGTTTTTTTTATCAAATATTTTATTAGCTACAGTAAGGCACACATTACGGTATTGGTTTATGTTAAAAAATCTGAGGGTTTAATGTCACTTTAATAGCTCAGTTTCTGACCGACATTACAAACTGTATGAGGTATCTATAACAGCCAATCAAGAGCCATCTAATATGAATTCAGTGTGATTTTATGTGAATTCTGGCTGACTACAGGATATTAAACTTACATCCTAAATCATACTGACTGACATTAAAATTCAGAGCATAAAAACATAAAATGGAGGTCTAGCCTTTATTTTTCACAGCAGTTTAAAGCAACATTAAACCCTCACATTGTTTCCGCCATTTTAATGCTGCTTTAAGTATTTACCTTAAAATGATGCCTCTAGATCCAATTATCATCTTCAAATAGTGAGAGGTATATGACAATGTGTTGGAAATGCTGTGCCTGCTGCAAAGACAGCTTTGAAAAGAGACATTCATGCAATGACTGAGACAAAAGTATGTTATGGGCAACCTAGGCTGTCTAACTGTGCTAATAGTCTCAGCACGCTTTGCTAGTTTTAAACACATCTGGAAAGCCAGAGGCTGCTTAAACCAGTTCTTTGCTGCAGAGTTAGGCCATGTGTATGCCTGGGGTTGCTTCAAGTTTCTAAGACTTAAGACTGAGCAGAGGTAAAATATATTTAAAAAAATCACATTATAATATTTAAGTAGTTCTGCACTACTAATAATGTTTTAAGAAATAACACTTTGGTGTTACTGGGCTACATATCCAAATCTCAAGTACTAAAAAAAAAACGAGTACTGCTGTTAAACCTCTGCATGTAGTTCACAAAACAGACACCATCTGCATGGAATTTGTGTGTTCTCTGTGCACCTATGTCATTATTTAACTGCATTCTGATTAGATTAGTTATAAACTGGGGTGTGACCTGAACTTTCATGTAAGTGGCCCCCCCCCCCCCCCACACACAATTCTGGCGCCGATCCTAAGATGTTTTTCTGAGACACCTGATAAACTGTCGAATTAGGAATTCAGAGAATTAAAAATCCTTAAAAAAGTGAGAGAAATGGTCGACCTACAGATTAATGGGTCTAAGGTTTCTTGACTTCTCTACTGAGGTCCAAAAGCCACAAAGCTTTGCTTGTATCCGGTATAGTCAAACATGAAAAATCTGTCAACTGTGCAAATAATAGTTTTCGTTACCCGAACATGCCTTTTCATGGGGCACACGGCCACCAGCTAAATTTCGGGCCATTCCTGGG